ACAATGCATTTTGCTGAATCCAGCAAAATTTGAAATACACTGCGATGAGCAGAGGTGCTACTATTCTTTTCTACAGAGATGCATTATTTGAAGAATTTGGTTTGTTTTTCTTTCAACACATGATGAGGGGGCAATTCCATTTAAACCGCCATCAAAAATAGATTTTTTATTATACTATTTATGAATTATCTCAGGCATAATACTATTTAAATAAAATAATTACTTTATGACAATGCAAAGTAAGAATGGTTTTTTATTATTCAGTTGGCCTGATTCTAAAGTGAATTGTCTCACTAATTCTTTCAGGGCTGATGTGGCTCAGTGGCTGAGCATCAACCTATGAATCAGGAAGTCAGGGTTTGATTCCAGCTCAGAGCACATGCCAGGTTGCAGGCTCAATCCTCAGTGAGTGATGTGCAGGAGGTGGCCAATCAATGATTCTCATCATTGATGTTTCTATTTCTCTCCCTCTCTTCCTTCCTCTCTCACATCAATAAAAATGTGTTGTTTCTTTAAAGATATCAATCCTATCTTAAGAAAAATGGACCATGTACAAACAACTGAGTGTGGAGTTTGGCTCTTTCTCAATAGTTGCTGGATCTTTGTAAAAGAATAAAATCAATGGCATGTTGTGGGGCATATTTTCACACCATATGCAAATGATTGTAACAGAATATGAAGAATGGCTTTCCAAGGCTGAATGGAGCCAAATTGGAATCCTTCTCTGTGGAGCATATGTGTGCTATGCTGGCTGTGTTAGCATCTGAATGTAGTCACCAATGAGGTGTCCATCATTTCTGTACAATCCAATACCGGCTGACAGAGCCTCCTGCCCTTGCTGTCATCCTAATAACTTAGCATTGTGAGCCTGTGCTCTCTGAATTCATAGGAGTCAAGTCCCAGGAAATAAACCAGCAAGGAGTTAACCTGTAACTCAAGCTCTTTCAAACATTTCATATAGATGCCTTGGGAAAGATATTCACAAGACATCCTTCCCATCAATAACAAACCATTATCATGTTTGCCATCAATTTTTGAGGATCCAGCTTTACCTTTATTGTTTTAAAATTTATGGCAAATGTATTTTTTTAACTAAGTGAAATTTTTGGTTCACCTGTTTCTTGAATACCCATAGGACCTCCAGGGTGGGAGAGAGTTGAGAAATATGATATAGGGGCTTGCCAACTATATTCACAAGGAACATTGCATGAGACGGACCAACCAAAATATGTTGGCAAGTCACATTTTACCAATCCACAAGATTAAAATAAGTTTATGAACAGAATTTTCTCAAAATTATGTTTTTCTCCCACTCGTTTTCTTATCCTTTTTTGTTTGTTTGTTTGTTTGTTTGTTTGTTGCTGTTAATCCTCACCTGAGGATATTTTTCCATTGATCTTTTTTTAAAAATATATTTTATTGATTTTGTTCAGAGAAGAAGGGAGAGAAATAGAGAGTTAGAAACATCGATGAGAGAGAGTCATCGATCAGCTGCCTCTTGCACACCCCCTACTGGGGATATGCCCACAACCAAGGTACATGCCCTTGACCGGAATCGAACCCGGGTCTCTTCAGTCCCCAAGTCGATGCTCTATCCATTGAGCCAAACCGGTTTTGGCTCCATTGATCTTTTAGGGAGAGTAGAAGAGAGAGGGAAAAACAGAGAGAAATATTAATGTGAGAGAAACACATTGATTGGTTGCCTCCTGCACACACCTGCCCAAGCAGGGCCCAGGCCAGGGAGGAGCCTGCAACTAAGGTACGTGCCCTTGACAGGAATAGAACCCATGATCCTTTGGTGTAAAGGATGATGCTCTATCCACTGAGCCAAATCGGCTAGGGCCATTTTCTTATATTTTTTGATACATGCTTTTGTAAATGAGCATTACCTTTAATTGATTAAAATAATAAACTGAAAACAAAAGAAACTCCTAAATATTTTAATTCTACATTTTTCTAATATGCATAAAACATTTTTTTCTACTGGTAAAATGATTCCTACTTGACAGGGCAGAAATAAATATCAAAATATTTTAGTGTAGTCCAGCCAGCATGGCTCAGAGGTTGAGCATTGACCTATGAACCAGGAGGTAATAGTTTTGTTCCCTGTCAAGGCATATGCCCAGGTTGCGGGCTCCATTCCCAGTGGAGACCATGTTAGGAGGCAGCCAATCAATGACTCTCTCTCATCATTGATGTTTCTATCTTTCCCTTCTCCCTTCCTCTCTGAAATCAATAAAAATATTTTTAAAAAATATTTTAGTGTATTACATAAAAAGTGCCATGCATACTAGTTACACTTGAAAAACTCAGAAATTAAGTTAGATAAAAATCTTGACTACTTCAGGGCAAAAAAAAATATTATAAAGTAATAAAAGACATATTATATTACAATCAAAGACAAAACATATATCACAACAAATACACAAAGAGGCTTTAACAACACAGGAGGAGAAAGAGAAATGACCCATAGCAGATGGATAAAGGCTGGGAACTGGCAGTCCGCAGAGGAACTGCAGACACACGGGTGTCCTGCATGTCTCTGGGGATTCCCGGGATAGGAAACAGTGAACGGTGTGGAGTAATGACTAGCGCTCATTAGACTCTTCCACTCTGGTCAATACTTTTTCACTCTGAATCCACGCCCACCAAGCAATCTTCTGATTAATCATCTGTGTTCTCTGGTTTTCATAACCTAAATGAGATGAGCTAAATTGTAAATCACAAATGCATGAACTGGCTCTGGGGCTTATACATCAGGCTCCTTTTAAAAGAAACTAACTATTATGATCATAAATGCCCACGTTCTTAATATACCTATTTTTCAACAAGTGATGTTTTGTGCTGTCATCCGAACCCTAGAGAAGCAGAGTAAGAAGAAATCTTGGGGTCACATGTGTCTAAGTAAAAAGACCATGCCGACGAGGGTCCTGTGACCGAAAGCAGCTCCAGATAAGCTTGAGACCTGGCCTCAGGGTGTGGGAGGGGTGAAGACACAGAAAGTTCGGGAGGAGCTGTCACCAGCTGTGCAGGAAGCCCTTTCCTCCTCAGCACCAGGGAAAACTCAGCCAGCTGAGGCGACAGGCAGGTCACTGAGCACACGGGGAGTCTTCCCGCCGAGTAGTCCCTGGCCCCCCACAAAAACACCTCCACTCCATGTTGATTATGGTTTCTCTCTCTGCACCCTGCGGTGTCGGAACCACTTCCTAGAATTGTAACGTGCTGCCAGGATTAATGTTCTTCCCCTCCCAAGAAAAAAAAAAAAAAATGACAGTAGCCGTACTTGACACGTGTGTGATGAACCCAGTGACTGAAAAACACAGAAAGGGCTCGGTGTCATTCCTGATGGGTGATGGGATGCATGCTGTTTTTCATGCCACAGTTTGTGAATTGTAATTTCGGTTTCCTATTTAATTGTAACCGGACAGAAATGAAAAAAAAAATTTCAATAAAAAATACAAATGTTTAAGCAACTATAAAAAAATAAAATAAAATAATAAAAAATAAATTAACATGTCAGGGAACTGGGTGGTGTTGTTAAAGGGTACAAACTTGCAACTGGCAGATAAACAGATCCTAAAGCTCTCATGCACAGCATAGTGATTATAGACAATCATACTGGATTATAAGCTTCACAGTTGCTAAGAGACTAGATCTTAACTGTTCTCATCCCAAATAAAGGTGATAATTATATGTGCTAGAGATGTTAGCTAACAATGTGGCAATTTTATATCTATATATCTATCTGTATATATCTATCTATCTATATATGTAGATATATATATAGATAGATAGATATAAATCTATATCTATATCGATATCTATATCTATACATATAATAGATATATATATTCAACATGTTGTAAACCTTAAACCTCCAGTTATATGTCAATTATATCTCAATAAAAAGAAAATAATATTTTGTCACAGACATTTATAGATAACAAAATACTTTCACATCTGCAACCTATTGTGAGTTGGCTCCGAAAGCACTTGTCTGGGCCTAATCAGCAGTGGACACACTGACAGAAACCAGTTTCACGGGCTTGCAAAGCCAGGAACTCCACTCTTTGCCACATTGGTTCTGTGAGGAATTCGAACACTACTAGGCATGCTCAGAATTTCACACAGGGGCAGAGGAAAACAAGCTGACAGAACGGACCTGAGGGTGTTGAGGTGAGAAATAACGAAAATTGCTTTCTGCTTGCAACTTGCTCAGTCCTGCTCATCCAGCTCATACCAGTTCCACTAGGGGTCAGGCTTTACCCGAAATGCAAGCCACTCCTGCCAGCGAGGTACCGGAGGTGAGCTCTCCCCTCTCTCCCTCCCCCACTTCCTGCCTTCATTCATCTCACAGGAAGACATTACACTAAGCCACCAACCTTTGCAGACAAACAATTAATGAGCATACGAGGCACCGGCTGTACGTGGCTATATTTTCTATAGATGATGAACTACCTCCTGGGGAATACTTTGCATGCATGATGCTCAGGCCAGCTGCTGCCTTGAACCCATGAAACCCGTTTCCCACAGCCCTTCTGGGCGACTTGTCTCTGGGGTCTGACGCAGAGCTGCTAGCAGGTGTTCGAGTCCAAGGCAACGAGGTGCACAGGCAGGGACAGCGTCGGTCCTACTTGAGCTAGACCCACGCACCCGTGCAGTCAACGGTTGGTTCCTCATGGGACCCACCGGTTTCGAACCCTCAACTTTACCTTGCCACCCAACCAGAGCCACAGCAACATTTTAAATAAAACCAGAGCTGTTTCCAGGTGTTGTTGGAGCCGGAGAGCCTTGCTTTGGAGGGCACGGGAGGGAGGAGGCTCTGGGCTTTTCACCCCCAGATCCCCTCTCCATCTCCCTCCCCCGGCCTCCACCCCGCTCCTCGCAGACCGGGGTTTTCCGGGGCCGGGAGACCGGGTGCGGCGACCGGAACGGCGGTCCCCACCGCGCGCTGCTCCGCCCCGGCGGCGGCCGGGAGGCGGGCGGAGCCAGGAGGGGCCATGGCGGCGGTGCCCGCGCTGCTGGTCATGGGCGTGAGCGGGTCGGGAAAGTAGGTCCCGGAGGAACCGGGGCGCGGCGGGGGGACAGGGGGGACGACCGGGATGGGGGGCTCCGCTGCGTGTGCCGGGGGGGGGGGCGACCGGAGACCCCGGGGGCCCCCTGCGCTTTGCAGGAAACTGAGGCCGGGCACCTGCTCCCTCTCCCCGCCCTCCAGCCCGCTGGCCCCGGCGCCGGGCGCGCCACCGCCGCCCAGACCCGGGGTCTCCTTAGGGTCTCCCCGTGAGTACGGAGGCCTAGGAGAGCCTTTTGGAGAGGCGGCTGCTGGGGCGCCTGGAGCGCCCGCGTTCAGGGGGTTCGGGGGGGGGGGGGTCGGAGCAGGTGGGGGTGCAGAGCCCGAAGCGCGGGGGCAGACCTGGCGCCAGGCTCCTGCGGACCTCAGTGGGGCTGGGCAGCGCGCAGGGCCCTCCTGCGAGGCCCTGGGCTTTCTGATTCGATTTTGGAGCTTGGCTTTTAGCGTGTGCCGTCTGTGATTAGTGTTCATCAGCCAAAGCTGGAAGTTACTGTTGGGGCGGGGGGGGGGGGGGGGGGGGACGTTTGGCTTCTTAATTAGACCAACATCTGTGCCAGGACTGCCCCCTGCCCCGCGGTCAGGGGTCTAGTATAGCTCTTTCCTGCTCCAGGTAGGTAGGTTTCGCTTTCCAACATTATCCTGGCATGTGGAGCCTCAAATCTTGAGAAATTAAAATGATTTGGGGAATCTTAATGGAAATGGAAATAAAATTGTTGTATGAGTAGAAGTTGGGAAGGTAAGACTGGGAGCCCCAGGTCTTGGTTCTTGCTTGTGTGAGCTTGGGCAGTACCCTTCTCGGCCTTGGACCTGATGAGGGAGTCTTAACCAGATGATTTATATAGTTATAGATATGGTTATGAGAGCCATGCACGCGGTGAATATTTATTGAGCTCGGTCCTTGCTCTGTGTCACTGACAGTGACCAGGACAGATAAAACCTGTGCCCTGTACATTCTAGCGTGGGAGACAGGCAGTGCGTTAAAAAACAGTGTGCCTGGTGGTGTAGGTGCTCTCTAGGAAAACAGGAGGGCACGTGGAACAAGTGCCAGGGAGAATGGTCTAGGAAGGTTCCTCAGAGGCAGTGGCATTTGACCAGGACCCACAAGAAGCGAGGGAGTGAGCCACATTGGTAGCTGGAGAAAGGGTGTTAAGGACAGAGGGGGTGGCAAGTGCGAGACCCTGCGGCTGGGTGTCTGTGAGACCAGCAAGGAAGCCGCGGAGAGAGGTGAGGTCGGGAAGCAATTCAGATGGAGAGAAGCCGTCAGATGCGGAGTATTTTGAAGGAAGAGCCGACGAGACATGTGGATGGGCTGGATGTAGGGCATGAGAGAGAGAGGGAGGAGTTGAGGTTGATTTCAAGGCCTAATTGATCTCATTAATCAGTATTTTTCTCAAAAATAAACATCTATAGAACAAACAGGGTCGAAACACCTTCAGGAGCTTAATGAGACCTTACATTCTGCTTTTTGGGCGGAGGGATTAGTGGTAACTGGGTGATTATTTCATTTAAATTCCCGGGGAAAACCAAAGTGGGCCTTAGACTTCAGGGGCAGGAGCACAGCTCTCTGCTTCCGTGTCAGTCACAGGTGTTTCAGTGCTAACGGGGCAGCCATCCGTAGATGGAGGAAGGCACAGTAGGTTGGGAAATAGCAGTCATTTGAACACTTGTGTCCTTTCCACAGGTCAACCGTGGGCGCCCTGCTGGCTTCTGAGGTAACCTGTTCCATTGCCTCCCAATTACAAGCCCTACTATGTGTCTGCTTGCTTCTCTCCCTTCCCCACCCCTTCTTCTGGCCTGTAGTGGTAGAACTCACCACAGCGCATGCACAGAGCTTGTGAAAACCCCTGGAACAATTTTGTCACACACACACACACACACACACACACACACACACACACACACCCCTTGGTGATTATGAATAGTGACGAATGAAAAAAGCAGCTGCAGTGCCCAGGAGCGGGGATCTGAAAGTGGCATTCCAGACCTCCTCCCTCCGGCTCCCCTGTGCTCCCTGCAGCTGCTGCCAGAGAAGAGGGCGGGACACGCTGCCTGCCACCCCCCCCCCTTTCTTTCCCTTTGTTCTTAAAGCTAGGATGGAAATTCTATGATGCAGATGACTACCACCCAGAGGAGAATCGAGTGAAGATGGGGAAAGGGATTCCACTGGATGACCAGGTAACGTTGGCTGTTTCCACCAGAAGGGGCGGCGCAGGTTGAGGTCTCTGCAGTGCGTGGTACAGTTCAGTTCCTGAGCTATGACGTGACTCATGGCCAGTGCTCCACCAGCCAGGCACACAGTGGGGCCTCCGCGAATGTTAGCTTTGGCCCTGAATCTCTCTCAAGTCAGCCTCAGGAGAGTTGCGCCCACTGTCTCCCCCCACTTGGGCAGGGTCTGCCAGAATACTTTGTGGCGTAATTTCAATGAGCAGAATATAATCTCGGAAAGGGCCTCCCACGTAAGGCAGTTCATCTTCCCTTCCAAGGTCCTATCAGCCTGCCACCATCATGAGACTCTGGTATCCACCCCACGCCAGTGATCTTTGCAAATTCAGATCCGGCCCTTTAGAAGTTTCCCACCAATCTCAGGATCAAGACCAAACAGCTAAACTCCTAAACATGCGTGGTTAGGCCGAAATGACCTTGACCCACTCCACACTCTTTAGTTGCCACGTACCCTTCACACACCCCGTGGCCCCCACCCCTCCACCCCACCCCGGAGCCACTGTGACCCTTTTCAGCTCCTCCTGCCATGCTTCTTCCCAGGCCCCACTGCCTGGAGTGTACTTCCTTCCCCTCCCCACCGGTGCCACTTCTCAAGGAACCCCTCCCTGACCTGCTTAAGTAACACCTCACATAATAAACTCTCTCAGCAACATGTCCCTTATTGCCCGTGTCCCAGTTGCAACTTGGCATTTGAGGGGTGTGAGACTGATTCACCTCCAAAGGGCAGGGATTGGCCATTTCTCTTCCACTGTATATATATACCCAGGGCCTGACACATAGTAGGTGTCAGAGAATAGTTGTGGCGTATTTGTAAGTGAATGAACGAGAGCAGGAATGAATGAATAGCACTTCATTCCCGTATGCACCATCATGAGACCATTGCCTAGGAGTCTCTCTCAAGCCAGACTTACAAACCGTGGATTTGTTGGCCTGACTAGCTGTAGCCCAGGAGCCATTGTGATGTTAGGGTCAAGGTCCAGGTCCACAGTGCAGGGGCCCCAGCCAGCCACACATACCAAGTGTGTCCAGAGGACAGAATGGAACTGGCCAAACGCCCACACTGCAGTTTTCACTTTCTGTGAACTTGCCTTACGCTCAGCTGTGCCCCCAATCTCTCTCTTCCCTTTGTCCTGCCTTGAAGGACTGAGTCACTATTAATAGGTCTAATTCTGGAGCATTTTAAGGGCGCACTTCTCTTCGCTTCAGGGAGTGCAGTCTGAGTCTGCAATGATTCAAGACTTGAACCATCAAAATTAAGTTCACATTTAGCCGAAACCGGTTTGGCTCAGTGGACAGGGCATCAGCCTGTGGAATGAAAGGTCCCAGGTTCGATTCTGGTCAAGGGCATGTACTTTGGTTGCAGGCACATCCCCAGTAGGAGTTGTGCAGGAGGCAGCTGATTGATGTTTCTCTTTCATCGATGTTTCTAACTCCCTAACTCTCTCCCTTCCTCTCTGTAAAAAATCAATAAAAATATTTTTTTTTAAATTAAGTTCACATTTAACTTTAGAAGCTAGGAGGAGTGAACCATAAAAGAGAGAGAGCAGTAATTTAAACATAATACTGATAATGTGCTAGAGATAAATGTAGATAACCAGACTCTACCTCTACACTTGTGTGACCTTTGGCAAATGGGTTAGAGACCGTACCATTTCATGGGTTCTTGGGAGGATGAAGTGAGATTAAAATAAAATAAAATATGTCCAGAGAAATACCCAAAGCCTTCAATGAATATCATACTAATTATTATTGTTGCTAATGTCACGTCTATATAGATATGTATATGTAATCAAAACTATTTCTATAGTGTGTAAGATGTGCCTGTGCCAGTGTTACATTTCTCCTTGGTGAGTTGCAAATAAAAGTTAAGTTAGCCCGACTGGAGTGGCTCAGTGGTTGAGCATTGAACTATGAACCAGGAGGTTATGGTTCGATTCCCAGTCAGGGCATATGTTCAGATTGCAGATCAATCCCCAGTGTGAGGTGTGCAGGAGGGAGGCAGCCAATCAGTGACTCTCTCTGATCATTGATGTTCCTATAAAAATATATTTGGGGCGGGGGGGGGGGGGGAGTTAAGTTAAAGAACAAAGCAAAGCAACTCAAAAGGATGGATTTGAAATGGCATTTAAACATCCTCCTCTGTTCAGAAGTGAGACTTGTTAAGTGGGCAGTATGACTGGGGTGAGGGAAGTAGGATTCAGAAAAGGAATTAACTATACCAAAGACAAGGTTATCTTTACTGGAAGAAATGCAACAAGTTCCTAAATGTATTCAAGAGAAACTTAGCCTGACTTAAGAGAGATGCAAAATGGGGGAAGGGGCAAAACAGCAGGTGGTTTACATTCTTTCTTTAAAAAAATATATATATATATTATTAATTTTTTAAAATATTTTATTGATTTTTACAGAGAGGAAGGGAGAGAGATAGCCAGAAATGTTGATGAGAGAGAAACACCAACCAGCCGCCTCCTGCACACTCCCTACCGGGGATGTGCCCGCAACCAATGCACATGTCCTTGACCAGAATCGAACCCGGGACCTTTCAGCCCGCAGACTGACGCTCTACCACTGAGCCAAACCAGCTTTGGCTATATTATTAATTTTAGAGATGAAGGGAGAGGAAGGTAGATAGAAACATCAGTGAATGAGAGGGTATCATTGGCTGGCTGCCTCCCGCACGCCCCCTACTAGGGATCGAGCCCACAACCCGGGCATGTGCCCTTGGCTGGAATCGAACTCCGGACCCCTCAGTCCACAAGCTGATGCTTTATCCATTGAGCCAAACCAGCTAGAGCTGGTTTACATTCTTGACAAGGGCCCAGCAAGTCCAAGAGGGAAGCTGTGGGTCAGGCTGGGCTGGCACAGTCCTGGTCACCCTGGCTACCACCAGCCCTGCCCTGAAATACTGTGATGAGGATCAAGTACAGAGTCTTAGGCAGTGGCAGGGGTTCTGTCTGGGGAAGAGTTTTGGGAGGGTTTGGAGAGGACTTTGTTTTCATCAGATCCCTGAAACTACAGGCCCAATATCCTTCTCTGTCCTCATGATGTTCTAACTGAACTCTCCGTAGGACACTCATGGTGCCCACTACCTCTAAGCACTGGGCCACACTGCTCCCCTTCTCACCCTTGCATGTAGGGACTATCAGGAATGAGACGACCTTAAACATCAGGTCCAGCAGCAGATTCTCACAGATCTCTACAATGGTCAGAAAATGTAAATAAATAAAACTGAAAAATAAAAATTAATATTCATAAGTAATTTGCAAATTAAAAATGTGAAATATGTAGACATGTACAAAAAAAGTGCTGACAACCAAAACTTATGGGATGCAGTTGAAACCGTTACAGTCTCTGAAGACATTTTTTAAAAAATAACAGGAATCTATAATAATGAAAGTATAATATGCTAATTAGACTGGGCATCCTTCCAGGTGACTTTCTGGGCAAACCTGGGGCTGCGAGGGAAGCCTGGGTCCTGGTGCCTGCCAACATCTGGAGGGAAGCCCAGGTCCCGGGTGCTGGAGAGGGAAGCCAGAGCCGGCAGCTGGGGGGATGAAGGCCTATGCTTGCAGGAATTTCATGAACTGGGCCTCTAGTGAAAAATAATGAGCTAAGTGTTCAAGTAGGAAAAAAACCAATAAACTGATAGAAAGTAATAAAAAAAATGAATGCTAAAATTAATGAAATATAAAACATTAGTATTAGCAAAACTAATTGACAAAATAAGTAGACAAATTTCTGGCAAGCCTCATCAGGATGTTTGGTGCGGGAGACATACAATTAAGATTAGGAATGACATCAGTAGATGAAAAAAAAAAAAAAAAAGCTGTAGTACATTTACACAATGACAAAACTGCAGCTGTGAAAAAGGAGATCTTACCCTTTGCAACAGCATAGATAGACCTGGAGATTATTATGCTAAGCGAAATAAGCCAGTCAGAGAAAGACAAATATCATATGACCTCACTTAAATGTGGAATCTAATGAACAAACTGACGAACAAAACAGGTCCAGAGGCCTGGATGCATGCAACAGACTGACAGATCTCAGAGGGGAGAGGGAGAGACTAACCAAAGAACATATATGCATAGCCCACGGACATACAATAGTGTGGGGAAAACCTGGGTGGAGTGGAGGCCAGGTGGAGGGAGGCAAAGGGGATGGAAAATGGGGAACACCTGTAATACTGTCAACAATAAATACATTTTTAAAAATAGATTAGGGATGAAAAGGAAGTCATGAATAATCTTACACCAGTAAACTTGAAGACATATAAAAGGGGACAATTCCATAGAAAAATAGAAATGACTATGGGACAATGGGCTGGGATGGTAGAGGGCGCTCAGAGGTATACAGTCTGCCTCCTCCCTCTCCCCCCAAATGAAAACATGACCTGCTGAGGCTGCATTTGGCTTGAGAATCAGAAGTGCCAGAGTTCTGTCTATATGTGTCGTCTCTTCCTGCTGCTCCCTTACGAGGGCACTAATCCTTCATGACCTCATCTAATCCCAATGACCTGCCAACACCGTCACATTGGGGGTTAGGGTTTCAACATACTCATTTTGGGGAGATAAACATTCACTCCATAATAATAATATATGGTATGCAATATACAAAAACAGAATAAGAGGGAAAGCTACTCATTGTATGAGGCTAGTATAAGCTGTATACCAACATCTAATATGGACTGTACAAGAAAAAAAATGCAGGCCAGTCTCCATTATATAAATGTAAAAATCCTGAATAAAATAAGAAAAAGCAAGGACTTTTAAAGAATGTATCATGTTACAGAAACACATCAAAATCATAAAGGATGGGAGCACAGGTGGGAATATAATTGTACATAATATAAAACAAGATTGGGTTGAAGGTTGTTGAAGCTGGGTTATGAGTACATAGAAGTTTGTTTTGTATAATTTTGTCTGCTTTTGTACAGACTTAAAATTCCCATAATAAAACGTGATTGTTGTCTTTTAATGTATTATGGCCAATCAGCATTTACCCCAGGAAGGAAAAGAAAGCTTGTCTCAGGAGGATTTCTTTGTGAAACACTGTGGGGTGTCCTCAGTAAACCTCTTCTGTCTTTGGAAAAATACAAATTTCTCACAATGATTTTATCTGGCAGGAGTTCTCTTTCAGGAGTGTTTGAAGAACAGTAACAAAGGGTCGCTGACAGAAGGGTTTCTATGAATATCTTCTCTCCCTGCATTGGAGACCAGAGGCACCATTATGCAGTACCATCACAGGAGACTTAGAATAGAAATAGGGAAAACATATACAACAGGGAGATTCGATGGGGGAGATGTAGATTGGTCTTTTAGGGTAATTTTTTGGATTGTGAAAAGATCCCCTGGTCTGAACCAGGAAAATGTTTCTGGGCTTAACTGCCTAGTGACTTTTATCCCTAGGCCTAGCGTATGGGCTACTTCTCAAAACCACGAAGATCTCTCTGGACCTCAACAGTGAGGGACAAAACTAATCATGTTTCTGAACAAACAAGCAATACCTGGAAAAGTCATTCTATGTCTGCTCTAATTTCAGGACAGGATTCCATGGCTTTGCACCTTGCATGACATTTTACTCAGGTAAGAGCATCAGGCCTTGGCACACCAGGGAGTCAAGAAGGCCCATCAGGAAGTACAGAGTAAAATATATAGTCCTGACATTGCAACTGACTGATGATAAAAGATCCCAGGAATGGAATGTGTTTCTATCAAATAACCAACAATGATTTTAAGCAGCCTCAGACATCGTTTAGCTGGGTTCTGGACACAAACCTAGATAGCTCTACAATTACCAGCCAGGATCAGCCACTTGGCTTCTATGAGCCTGTGTCTTCATGTGAAAGGGGGTTACATAGTTCCTAGTCATACTGTGAGGAATTAGCAAGATGAGGCATGAGTAGCACCTAGAACAGTATCAGTATAAAAGTAGCACCTAGAACAGTATCAATTAAAAATGATAGTAGGCTGCGCCTGAGCCACAGGCTAGTCACGGAAGCTGAGACCCGGCACCTTGGTCAACTTCTTCCCACGGTTCCATGGGCAGGTCCTCTGAGTAGCCCCATTTAACAGATGATGAATTGGTGGTCAGGGAGGTACACACCTTGCCCAAGATGATTCAGATCACTAGTTGAAGATCTTTACTCTAAAGCCAGGACTACCTGAATCTTAACCGCCGTTTTATAGCACCTTCCACTGGCAGGAAGTAGTACTGAACTCGGCCTAGAATGAACACCTGGTATTTTAAATGTCTTCATTCTGTAACACTTCCGCCTCCTCCGCTGCCTTTTTTTTTTTTTTTTTAACAGAGATGTAACCTCAGGACAGTATGTGGTCCTAGCCTGCTCAGCTCTGAAGAAAGTGTACAGAGACATCTTAATACGAGGAAAGGATGGTGTACCTCCGAAGAGTGATGCGCCCGGGAAGGAAGGAAAGCCAGCTGAGGTGCAGCTCCTCGTGGTCTATCTGAGTGGGTCATTTGAGGTCATCTTTGGACGCTTACTCAAAAGGAAAGGACATTTTATGCCCTCCGAATTATTGCAGTCTCAGTTCAATACTCTGGAACCCCCCTCAGATCCAGAAAATTTCATCCAAATCAATGTGGACAAAAGTCTTCCAGAGATAATTGCCATAATTATGGAAGCTCTCAAATGAAACCAAGTCACTTCCTATCAGTGCTCCAGATGAGAATGAGGCATAAGTTTCTATCCTGTCCCTGACCACGTTAAAGCATCCATGTTGGTACTGTGCTCTAAATTCCAGTTAGTGTGAACAAACCACGATGTGTTGAAATATACTTGTTTGGATGTGATTTTAGGAATTTGTGGTCCTCTTGTCGTCATGCTCTGCACAATGGAGAAGAGGGGAGGGGGCTTGGAAAGTTAAGCTTCCATTGAAATTGAAATTCATGTGGATCCAATTAAATGATTAGAAGATATTGTATAATCAGTGCTGAAATCATTACCTTATTGAGAATATTCTTGATCAGATAAGATTCCAACAAATAAGTGAAGCTTGGCTATCCTTGGCACCCCTTAGAAATTGGCCTTGGGAGCATAAATGTGTTCAAAATCAATAGCTCACTAGCAAGTCATTTTACACCACACACCTTCGAATCCTCTGCCTTTCAGGATAAGTAAATAAAAAGCACTAGTTCATGAATATAAAAAACAGCAAAGGCCCTAGCTGTTTTGGCTCAGTGGATAGAGTGTCAGCCTGCAGACCAAAGGGTCCCAGGTTCGATTCCAGTCAAGAGCACATACCTTGATTACAGGCTCCTTCCTAGCTCTGGTTGGGGTACATGCAGGTGGCAATCGATGTGTTTCTCTCATAGTGATATTTCTCTGACTTTCCCTCTCTCTTACACTCTCTCTAAAAAAAAAAAAATTTAAAAAAATCAATGGAAAAATAACCTTGGGTTGATAATTTTAAAAAATGATAATTTAAAAAATAAAAAGTCTAAAAACTGCAAAGATGGCCTTGGACCATATGCTCAGTGGTTAGAGCATTGGCCCATACACAGAAGGGTGATGGGTTCAATTTCCAGTCAAGGGCATGAGGCACATTCTTGGGTTGCAGGTTCGATCTGGCCCCAGTTGCGGCATGTGCAGGAGGCAACCCATCGATGCGTGTGTCTCACACTGATATTTCTCACTCTAAAAAAATCAATGATAAAAATATCCTTGGGTGAAGTGTAACAACAAAAACTGCAAAGATGGAATTTGAGCGAACGAACCATGGACTCGCTGACCCAGTCCTCTGTCCCCATTTTACTAAGGCTAGACTAGTACAGACATTACCTATGGAAGCCCTTCGCTTATTACAAGCTACTCTCCCTTTTTTGTTCTTTAGCATTAAGGAGTTATATTTATTATTTCCCTAGGTAAGCTTTATTAAAGGGGACATGCGAAAAATAGTTGTTTTGAAAAAGGCATTGAGTCTGATCCAGTGGAGGACTACTATTGCTCTACTGTTCCCAAGCCTGGCCACAGGGAGGCCAAGATGTGAGCAAGTACTGCCCTCTGGTGGCCCCAGAGAGTGCAGCAAGCACAAACTGCTCTCCCAGTCCTGAGAACCCCTCTAGCAGCCAAGGGTCATGTAGGTTCAAGGGTGGTGGAATGCTGCTCCCCACCAGCCCTGACCACACTCCTGCCCAGCATCTCTGAATTGGGAAGAAGAGGTAGGTGAGAACTGTTTGAATGGTTCAAAGTAAATGCCAATAAAAGATTTTCTCAACCCTGCAAACACCACTTACCACCATCTCTAACAGGACTCTCCACCCTGCCCCCCTCCACTGGAAGAAGTTCAGGTTAAACCTTCCCTCTCCTATAAAATGGGGACACTGTTCATTCCATAAGGTTGTGAGAACTGAGATAAGGCATGCAAAATGCTGAAACCTGACACACTGCTCATCCAACATTGGCTCTTGTTATACTTGTCATCCCCTGGGGTCTAAGAGAGGGTGTCCTATGGCCACACTCCCACTCCTGTTATTCTGACTGTGTGGGAGCTTATGAACCCCTTCGAAGTATCTGAATCTTGAGTCTTCCTTCTTAGTTCCTGACAGGGTCTCCTTCCATCCTCCCCAACTCTTGACCAAGTCAAATCAAATGTTATTGCAGCATTATTCACAATATCCAAATGATTAAATGTCCAACATCAGATTAATGAATAAAATGCAACACCATCCATACAATAGAGTATTACTCAGCCATTAAAGGGAATGAAGTACTAATCCGTGTCAACATGGATGAACCTTAAAATCATGCTAAGTGAAGGAAGCCACACACACTATATAATTCCACTTATATGTAATATCCAGAAGGTATAAATCCACAGTTAGAAGCAGATTAGTGGTTAGCAGGGGCTGGGGCAAGAGGGTAATGGTAAGTGATTAAGTGGTTTCCCTTAAGGATGATGAAGTTCTGGGGGATTTTGATGATTGTACATTGTGAATATACTTTAAAATAGTCACAAAAGTAAGTTCTGTTACATTTATATTAGCAGTTAAGAGCTGAGCCTATCTCGCTAACCTTATCACCATATGCTAGGACAGCAGGAGCGATGCATGCTACCTTTTGGAGAGACTACTACTACTATGTGGAATTAGAAGTGGTGATAGTGAGCATCTGTATCTTATTCCTGATTTAAAAGTTTTTGGCTTTAACATTTTGGCCCAGATCAATCTCTGTTGTGGGAGACTGTCCTACACATTGTAGAATGTTTAGCAACATTCTTGGCGTCTACTCACTAGATGCCAATAGCAGCCCCAATCAAAAATGTGTCTCCAGATATTGCCAGAAGCCTCCTGGGGGGCAAAAATGCTTCTGGTTAATAACTATTGATCTTGTTCTTCGGCTTTAACTACCAGCTATATACACAGGCAACTACTTGTCTATAGCCTGAACCTCTCCGCCAATCGTCTTCTCTGCACTTATATGCATACCAAGTACATCCCACTTAATAAGTCAAAACTACCAATTTATACTCCTCCCTGTATGTGCCCTTCTACCTTGTTTGTCTTGCTTGATAACTGATACCTCTCCTGCTCTTAACTTCACACTTTGATCCATCAATAAATTGTACAGGCTTTGCCTTCAAAACATATCCCAAGTCTGACTTCTTTCCACTACCACCTAAGCCGATACAAACTCTCACCAAGAGTATTACCTCTTAAAAGTCTCTCCGCTTCCACTCTGGCAGCCCTACAAGTCCAACATTGTTAGAAATGTAAATCCTACTAATTAGTAAATCAAAAACTCTGATGGGACACAAAGAATGGGTATTAAGTCCTCCACATCAAACACCTAAGCCACTCCCCTGCCCTCCTCTCCAAGTATATTCCCTAAACCACTTTCTTCCTAGTTTACCTTACATACACACCAAACTTCCTGCATTCTAGACATACTCAGGACACTCACATATCAGGGCCTTTTCATCAGTGGTACCTCTTCCCTGGAAAATTATTTACCCTCTCAGATATTCTTTAAGTCTCTAAGTGTCACCTTCTCACTGAGGCCTTCGCTATATAAAGAGCACTTTCTTCCTAAACCAGCCTCCTTTATTCTTAATTTTTCACCAAATCACTTGTCATTATCTAACAGAGCATGTTTTCATTATCTACCTCCCTACATTCAACTACGTACACTCCATATGGACAGAACTTTATTTGCTGCTCTTTTAGCAACTAGAAAAGAATCTGGTACTCAATAGGTTGGTAGCAGTGGTAGTAGAAAGAAGTCAGAGTTAGGTTGGGTGTGGCCAGCCCCGGAGCAGCAGCAGCCAAGCCGGGAGCAACCAGGTCGGGAGCAGCAGTGGCCAGACCCGGAGCAGCTGGTTGTGGAACGAACCAGAGTAACAGAGGCCAGGCCCGGAGCAGCCAGGCCCGGAACAGCTCGCTCCTCGCCTACCCCCGCCCCAACGTTGCCTCTCAGAGATGGCTGGAAACTTTTGCGGGAACTTGAGAGTCTGCTGAATCAAGTGATGAAGGCTTAGATCTGGATATGTTGTTAGTATAGCGCTGGGGTGTTGATCTGTGAGTGCCTTGTGTGGGGCCTGGATGAGGTTGGTTGACCTATTTGGAAATGTCTTTTGTGTGAAGTGTATCATTGGGCATGTGGAGGTATTATTGATATGAGAAAATGCTAAGTAACTGATTTACTAGCTGAAAAGGTATTTACTATCGGGGGAAAGGGAGGGAGGAAGAGAATGAACATAAACTGTGCACCTATGGATGAGGACAATGGAGGGGGGGGAAGGGGGCGGAGGGGGGGGGAACCTGGTGGAGGGGGGAAGAAATGAGGAACCTTTGTAATAATATGAACAATAAAGATTAAAAAAAAAAAAAAAAAGAAAGTCAGAGTTGGGATATGTTTTGTTGGAGGCAAAGCCTGTACGATTTACTGATGGATAAAAGTGTGTTGTTGCCCAGCTGGGTATGTCTCAGCAGTTAGCGTCAATCCAGGAACCAAGAGATCACAGGTTCAAATCCCGATCAGGGCCTATGCCCAGGTTGCAGGTACGATCCCCTAAGGGGGATGTGCAGGAAGCAGCCAATCAATGATTCTCTCTCATTATTTATGTTTCTTTCCCTCTCTCCCTCTCCCTTCCTCTCTCTGAAATCAATTAAAAAATATATTTAAAAAATAAAAATGTTAACTTTCTCAGGGAATGGTTGTTTATGATTGATTAGAGGAAAAATACAGTATTATTTAAGTAACTGACAAGAAAATTCAGCAGAAAACAGAGCCTACCCAAACTGTAAGGTGAATGAGAAAGGCGAGATGCAGCATTTGGGAGTAAAGGCTAAGTAGTTCACAGTAAATAAATCGCTGGTTAGCAAAGTTTAGGAAGACTTCAGAACTGAGCCTAGAAGGAATGGAAGCTTTATGTAAGCTGAAGACAGATGAAATTCCAGAGAAGAGAATACCATGTGCAATACCAGGGAAGTAAAGAGATCTGCTAAGTATAATTTTCCCAAAGTGTGTTCATTGGAAATATTACCTTGAAGAATAGTTAAGTGAAAGGATGGGAAAAGATAAGAAAAGGCTGGGTCAAATAACTTCACAGGTTTCTTTAATGTAAGACTTCTTGTTGATTTAACATGTGTAATATTAACCTCTAAGAGAAAAATATAGTACAGTATGTTTTCCTGCCTTAATCACACCACCTTTTTTGTTTTGGTAAAATACACAGACCTGTGGCCTAGCTTCACTTTTATCTCTAACTAGAGGCCCTGTGCATGAATTCGTGCAAGGCTGGGGTCAAGCCAGCCTGCCCCATTCCCCATCAGGACTGATCAGGAGGAGGGGTCATGGGCAGTTGGCCACTGGTTCCATCCCCTGGTAGAACTCCTGATCAAACTCCTAGTCGAGGGGACAATTTGCATATTAGCCTATTATTATATGGATTATTATATAGAATGTTAGTGATATTTTTTCTGTCCTATTTTGCTATAATTTGCCTATTAAGTTAACATAGTAATAATGTCTTCCCCAATCAAAAAACCCCTCTTGCCGAAACCAGTTTGGCTCAGTGAATAGAGTATCGGCTTGCGGACTGAGGGGTCCCAGGTTCGATTCTGGTCAAGGGCATGAACCTGGGTTGTGGGCACATCCCCAGTGGGAGGTGTGCAAGAGGCAGCTGATCGACGATTCTCTCTCATCGATGTTTCTAACTCTCTATCCCTCTCCTTTCCTCTCTGTAAAAAATCAATAAAAATATATTTTAACAAAAAAGACCCCTTATTACTATATTTAAGCCAAGTCAAACACTAATTCTGAAAACAGGCCAGCTGAAAATTAACACAAATATTCCAATTGGGAAATGAAATCCTGAAATGTTATTTTCATCACTCCATTCTCTCTTTTTAAATATATTTTTATTAATTTCAGAGACGAAGAGAGGAGAGAAAAAAAACATCAATGATAAGAGAAAATAATTTATTGGCTAACTCCAGCATGTTCCACACTGTGGACCAAGACCACAATCAGGCATGAGCCCTGACCAAGAATCGAGCCATGACCTCCTGTGCATAGGTTGACACTCATCCATTGAGTGACGCCAGCTAGGCTCACCACTCCATTCTTCATTCAATTTGTAATAATCCAATATGAGAACAACTTAAGCCTACAGTATTTTAAGTTTTTTTTTTAATGCTTTAAGCCTTTATGTGGGAGGCAATCAATTCATGTCTCTCTCACATTGGTGTTTCTCTTCTCTGTCTTGACCCTCTCCATTTAACTCTAAAAAAAAAAAAAAAAAAAAATAATGGAAAAAATATCCTCAGGGAGGATTAACAACAACCAAAGAAACAAGCAAAATCATACCACTGCAGCACTAAAAGGTTCTGGAGAAATCACCAGTCCACATAGGCCCCATCGCCATTTTTAAAACAAAGAAACCATGATGCCTTTACTCAGTCAATAATCGAGTACCAAAAAAGCAGCAGCGTCCAGGTCACCTAACATTCCAGTACAGTATATGGACATGTTTTAACTAAAGAAACTTTAAAAATTAATAAAGAATGATCTAAAACATTATAAAATCTGAAGTAAATCAAGTCTTTAAAATACATTGTCAAAGAAAGAAAAGACATTTTTTTTCTACAAAAGAGGCAAGACAAACCAAGTGTAAAAGCTAGAGATTTATTATTTTATGATTAATAACTGTCAAACTGGTTATGACACTATCCCACTCTGTATACCACCATTTGCCAGTACAAGTTTTTAAACCAGACTGAGGCATAAGGCAGAGAGAGCAAAGACACATGAGTAATCCTAAACAACTTCCTCTGGCCAGGCCTCCCACCTTGATCTTCATAAAAGTTTTCCTCCTGGGGAAAGTGTCAGAACAGTGCATGGCTGGTGGGCAACCTGACCTCTTGACCCTTTTTAAAAGCAAGCAACTTACAGAACTAATGCAATTCAACTCGTATTTCCTTTGATTTTATTGGTCTGAACTCATTTTAGGTAACTTTAACATTTTAATTTCCTGTACATGAGACTATAATGACCTAAGAGAATACTGAACCAGAGTCAGCCAAATATATTACTGACCCAAAGTTATGTTTAATTGGTCCTAAAGGAATGTACCACACCAACAATTTGAGAGTTAGGCAAACAGAACTTCTCTGAGGAGGAAAGAAAAAGGCTGTAGAACAGCCAAATGTACTCAACATTGTTAAAACGGCTCTTGTTTATCACCCCTGAATGATACCTGTTTACTACATTATATGCACAGAAATCCTAACAGAACCTTGGTTACCAGTATTATTTAGGCTGACCCACTCCAGAATAGATCCCACCCCCTCCCCCAAGTTCCCCTCTCTCTGAGGCTCTGAAAAGCACAATATTTACCTATTTCTTATTAAACTACCGAAACACTTCAGAAACAAGTAGCTCACAAATCATTTTAAATTCATGTATTGCCTGTGCATGAGAAATCTGATAAACCCAAAAGATAGATCTATTTTTATATGGCGATTAAAAATAACTGAAACATCAAGACACTTTCAGTGAAAGCAACATTTCAATTACAAAATGTAATGCCTGTTAAACTATCTATGGGAGAAGCTGAAAAGTCCTAGGCAAATGCACTTTTGATTTATTATTACAGTGCTCCTTCAGTCTGCACAAAAATGAAGGAAATTTACAATTAACCAGTGAATGTTGAGACAATGTTATATTATGTTGTCTGTACAATTAAATGTCCTTAAAGAGATAACAAGAATCAGCTTTTTTACTAAGTAAGTCAACAAACCTAACTGGCACTTTTGCTGAAAGATGTTTATCAAAGATGCTGTAAGATTCTACACAATTAAAAAATACTTAACTTGAAAGTATTTCCTTATCTTTACTTTTTTAGTTATAAGTGTTTTTGCTCAAGGTAATCTACTGCTGTATGTTTCTAGAAATGCATTCCCAAATGTGCATAATATATTGTATACAAATAAAGTAAAACTATCAGTAGTGTAAATCTTACAGCATTTTGTTTGCAAAAATACATGCCAAAGTCACAATAAGCAATATTGTAACCACAAATTATAGAGTGCAAATGATTTGCTTCTTTTAATGCTTTTATTCTACATAAATTACTACCATAGGCTAATGTTTAAAAAGCAAATAAATTGGACAGATGCAGGACAAAAATCTGTTCACCTACTACAGAAGGTGATGTTTGTTTGTTTTTAAATTACAATAAATGCAGAAGTGTTTGATGCATGCAGTAGCCTTAAATGAAAAAGCATTGATTCCCATTGTTCCACAAGGAAAAAAAAACAACACACAGAGAAACCCACATTATCTTACTGTACTCCACCTTAAAATGCATCATATTGGGTTTGTTTATAACAGCACAGAATTTCAAAAGTCAAAATGAAATAAAGCAGGTATTTTAAAGATTTAAGAGCCGTTATCAAAAATAAATTACATTTTTTTCAAGATACAGAAATGCTGCTATGATGGCTGGGAGCCCAGTAATCTTTCAATAGCCGCATTGATATCACCTCCCGTTGCTATCAGAGCTTGCAAGTTTGCTTCACGGTTCAAAAACCCCATTGCACTGAGTTGTTCCAGTTGTTGCTGAAATCTGACTTCTGGACTCTGTAGCTGTCAAGGAAAAATAAAAATTAACCAAAAGCCTGAGCTACAAAAGCACTGGGCTCTCTTGAAACATGTTCAACATATTTAAAAGACCACGAGCACTTTATTTTGCTATTTTATACCTAAACAATCATGTAAAATAGATCACATACGTAAAATTTTTTTAATAAACCTCAACTATTATTTTACATATATTTAAGAAGCTCATAAATAAAGATCTAATATGCAAGTAGCATAGATTACTTATTTTGTAGCTATTGACCAACTGGGTAATTATTATTATTATTTTTTAAATATATTTTATTGATTTTTAACAGAGAGAAAGGGAGAGAGATAGAGAGCTAGAAACATAGATGAGAGAGAAACATCGCCCAGCTGCCTCTTGCACAACCCCAACCGGGGATGTGCCCGCAACCAAGGTACATGCCCTTGACCGGAATCGAACTTGGGACCTTTCCAGTCCGCAGACAGACGCTCTACCACTGAGCCAAACCGGCTTCGGCCAACTGGGTAATTATAAAAGCCATGTCTTTCTATATAAAATTCTAAAATCCTAATGAGCTTATTTCTGTACTAGCCAAAGTCTTCAGAAAAGAGTTCCAGTTTCAGGCCCATAGATTATATTTCTGACAATTCAGCTGTGTCATATCTTTCTTCAGAAATGAGGTTAAGACAAAAATACATAAATGATTAATCAATCCTGGCCAACCTGATAATGGGGAAGCCTATAGATTATTCAACTTATATAATAACTCTCTCCAACAGCTAAAACCTTTTTTCTTATTAAGTTCATGAATTTTTACTGAGACAGAGCTATGCAAGATACTGAGGATGCAAATATTTGCGTTAGATAAAACCCTGCCAAGTTTATTGTATTTAATAAAACTTGAAAATCAGAAAGCATGCTATATTTTTGCCAGGCAGAAGTTTGGAGGCAACCTACCATGCCAGATTTGAACTATAATTTTCTTTGTTAAGCCAATAAATACTTTCAGATACAAGAACACTATTACAAGCCCAAATTTTTTAGCCATATTTGTGAGTTATATTCATGTAACACCAACTTACTAGAGGAGGTAGTACCATTTCCCCGAAGATAAGACAGTGTCTTATATTAATTTTTTCTCCCAAAGTTGCGCTAGGTCTTATTTTCAGGGGATATCTTATCTTTCTAAGCGCTCGGTCTTATTTTCGGAGGATGTCTTATTTTTGGGGAAACACGGTAGTGAGGTAGGATGCTTTTTAATTTTTAAAATTTTTTCAATTGCAGTGGACATACAATATTAGTTTCAGGTGTACACTCCAGTGATCAGACATAATAAAACTTAAATGATCATTCTGGAAAATCTCATATCCATCTGACACCATATATAGTTATTCCCTATGCTGTACTTTACACCCCTATGACTACACTATAACTAGTTTGTATTCTCAATCCCTTCACCTTTTCACTCATCCCCCTTCCCATCTGTCAAAATGTTCTCTCTATATATATATGTTTCCATTTTGCTTGTTCATTTATGTTAATTTTTAGATTCAACTATTGATATTTGTCATTTTATTGTTCACACTTTTTTTTTTTTTAAATATATTTTATTGAATTTTGTACCGAGAGGAAGGGAGAGAGATAGAAAGCTAGAAACATCGATGAGTAAGTCATCGATCAGCTGCCTCTTGCACACCCCCCACTGGGGATATGCCCGCAACCAAGGTACATGCCCTTGACCGGAATCGAACCCGGGTCCCTTCAGTCCCCAAGCCGACGCTCTATCCATTGAGCCAAACCGGTCTCGGCAATTGTTCACACTTTTTAATCTCTTCTTTAAGAAGACCCTTTAACATTTCATGTAATACTAGTTTGAACCCCTTTATCTTATCCTTGTCCGGGAAACGCTGACCTTCCATTCTAAATGACAGCTTAGCTGGATAGAGTAATCTTGGTTGTAGGTCCTTGCTTTTCATCACTTTGAATATATCTTGCCATTTCTTTCTGGCCTGCAAAGTTTCTGTTGAGAAATCTACTGACGTATGGGTAACCTCTTGTAGGTAACTAACTCTTTTTCTCTTGCTGCTTTTAATATTTTCTCTTTGTCTTTAACCTTTGGCATTTTAATTATGATGTGTCTTAGGGTGAACCTCTTTGGGTTCATCTTGTTTAGAACTCTATGCTTCCTGGAAATTGTATGTCTATTTCTTTCACCAGGTAAGGGAAGTTTTCTGTCATTACTTTTTCAAATAGTTTCTCACTAAGTTCCTTAAATTTCTCAGATAGTTCCTTGAGCATCATTATAACCAGTGTTTTGAACTCTGTACTTAATAGTTTTCTTGCTTCCATCATTTAGTTCTTTTTCGGGAGATTTCTTCTGTTCTTTGTCTCTGCATTTTGGTTGCTTCCCTGTGTTTGTTTCTACGTATTAGATATGTTATGTCTGCCACACTAGATAAGAGTTGCCTTGGGTAGTGGTGCCCTGTAAGGCACAGTGGCTCAGCCTCTGCAGTCTTCTTAGCTGGGCACTTCAGGTGTGCCCATCTGAGCTGTGTGCACTGTCCTATTGTAGTTGAGCCTTGATTTATGTTGGTGTCACTCGGAGGGGTTGAGCCTCAGGCCATCATTGGGAGGACCTGAGCTGTAGCTGCTACTACAGTGGAAGAGCAGCTGTGCCAAGATATCCCTCCTCATTTTAAACCACACATGGGTATGGGACCAGCCAGTGCTGTGATTCTGCTTCAAGTCGCCACCTCTCCCAGCAGTCTTCATGGGCTTCTTCTTTAATTCCGTAGTTGTAGTACTTCTCTCAGCTAGATTTCAGGTGGTTCTGTATGACGATTATTCTGTATTTTAACTGTGATTTTGATATGGTAGTGGAAGGTAGTGAGTACCATGTTCACCTATGCTGCCACCTTGACTAGGAGGATTTATTTTAAATCAAAATACAAAACTAGATAGATTATAGTTGTTCAAGAAATTATTTGGGATAACCATGTTCCTTATTCCACCCTGACTAACTTTTATAAAATTAACATATTTAAATAATTTTCAAATAGGGATTACAAAAAAAAGAATGCATTTTTAAAGACATCTAAAAAATAAGACAAAGTTTTAATATTTCTTCTCTACAAAACTAAAATTTTTTTTTAGTGTCTAATATAGTATCAATGTTAACAATTTTTGAAAGGCCTGCTTTAGAATATATATTCTTAAAATTGTACTTCAGGTTATAATCTGAACCCTAAAAGACTGCCACTTTCTTTCCTTCCATTTTCTTTTGAGGGGGAAAGGGATTTCTAACATTAAGGAATGTAAAGTGTCAGCAAAAAAAATCACTACCTGAGGATTTACTGCAGCAAGAGCCTGCAACATCTGTTGGATAAACTGCTGGTGTCCAGGTTCCGTGGTTCCTTCCGTGGGTCTTGGGTTTTCACTAGGGACAGAGCTAGAGCCATTGGTTCCTGAAGAGCCTCCGGTGCTTCCTAATGTCCCCAGGCCAGGAGTAAAGCTAGGGAAAGCACAAATCGGTAGTAAACCTATATTCCTGGACATATATGTCTATTTCATACAAGAGGCCAGACCTGGGCAGTTGGTAATAAATCAGCCACATTTTAACATAATAGTAGCCAAGCTGTACTCTCTAAATAAGAGCTTTTTTTAACTTTGAAAGCTCTGTCTTGAAAATAATCTCAGCAGTTCTGGCCTGTATGGCTGAGTTGTTTGAGCATTGTTCCATGCACCAAAGGATCTGAAGTTTGACACCCAGCCAGGGCGTATGCCAGGATTTGGGGCTCGATCCCCAGTAGGAGGCAGCCAATCACTGTTTCTCCCTCACATTGATTTTTTTCCTCTAAAAAAATCAATACAAATCATATTAAAAAAATAAAAAACTATCTCAACAACAAAAAAAGGCAAAATGATATTAAGCCTAATAATCTCCAAGAGAGAAAGTAATATACATTTTTGTAATCTTTCCCCAAATAAGCCTACCCTGGGATGAGGCCGGGTGCTTCCGTTGCTAATGTCTGCAAACCCTGCTGAATCTGCAATAAGGCCTGCATTGCTCTAGGGTTTGACATTGCCGATAATGTATCAGGATTCTGCATCTAAAAAATAATGAAAACCAATGGTTACTGAGGGATTACAATCAGTGAAGGTAAAATTTAAATGTTTTCTTCGCTATGTTTTTGGAGAAAAGAAACCATATTGTTAAGACATTGGTAATCCATAATTTCTTTCCCAAAATAAATACAAGCACCTTCCTCTCTGATAGCAAACCTTGTGTGCACATTTTTACTAGATCTCTTCCCAAATCCATCATGAAAACTAATTTTTCATAATAAAAGACAATTAGGAGCTCCTCTGGAAGCCACATCTGTTCTCTTTCTACAACAGATGAAAATTTTATTTCTAAGCAACAACTCCAAAGGCACATTAACATAACATGGTAATATGGTGAAAACCACATATTCCTCCAGACCAAGTGTTACCTGTTGCTGATGTAACAATTTTCCAGTAAACTACACTCGAAAACAAGTTCCAAATTTGAAGTTAACACATAAGTCCTGAGTTCAGCTTCACTACTTCCAAATATACACCACCTGACTAACCAATATAGATAGGCTTGCATCCATTACAATAGATCAAGAGCATTAACGAATCTTGGATAAGGTTTTACATCCCTGAGAATCATTTACATAATATTTAACAGACAGAGAACTGCAAAGACTAAATAACTTCATAACACCAAGACTGACTTCTTTTCTATCTTTGTAAGTAATAAAATACATGGCAATCTCAAATACTTTTCAATAATAAAAATCTTCCTTATATGACAACAATGACAATTTTAATCCTGCTAATTCCGAGTTTGGGGAAATGAGATTTACCTCTTGAAAAACAGGCATTCTATTAATTTAGAGGAATTAAAACTTTACAAAGAAAACAAACCTGCAAAATAGGATACGGTAGCTCTTTCCAATTACTAAAGAATAGTTAATGTATAACATGACATAATGAAGCACTTCAAAGTTAGTATAGGGAAAGAAAATGGTTAATGCATAAACAAAGCATTCAAAATCCTAAATTCTCAAAAGCAAAAACAAAATGGTCCTTTCCTCAGAATTTGTTTAAAAAATCAAGCAGACCTAGGTGGTTTGGCACAGTTGGCCTGCAGACTGAAGGGTTCCGAGTTCGATTCGGGTCAAGGGCACATGCCGGGGTTGCGGGCTGGATCCCCAGTAGGGGACATGCAGAAGGCAGCCGATCAATGATTCTCTCTCATCATTAATGTTTCTATCTCTCCCTCTCCCTTCCTCTCTGAAATAAATTTTAAAAATATATATATTTTTTAAAAAGAAATACAAGCAAAAAACAAAGTATCAGCAATGAAATGGGGCTTGGATAAGATCAAGCTGAATTCTCTTTGAAATGATAGCATTATCAGACTTTATTCTATGTTTTGCTATCAACCAAAGAGAAAAAAAAAATGTTTATCGACAAACTTTTTCAAGCAAACCATTACTGAAGATAGCTAGCATCTTTTCTTACTCACTTGTTGGAGGAAAGTTGGGAGCTGTTGTCTCATTTGTTCTTGAAGCTGAGGATTTCCAGCAAATAGGGGATTATTCAGCATCATCTATGGGGCAAGTGTTCAAACAATTTTAACTGGAAATAATTGAAACAAGTAATGTACCTTGTTTAATAGTCTGTCTTCCCCCAAGTGCCTAACTTGGCACTTAAAAAGGGGAAGGTAGAACATGAATAAAAAAAGGAAGGGAAGATACTGTTCACAAGAATGATCTTCAGAAAAAAACAAAAGGCATCTTCTCTCTCAATGAGATTGATGATTATGATAATGACATGCAATATCCTAAAAATTAAAAGCAATCATTCGTAAGCTGTTCTTTGAGCAAAGATGAATATCTGCTCTTGAAAAAAAAATGGGAGTATCTGGCATTCATAAGGATACATATTCTGCTACACTGACAGAATAAACAATACAGGAAACTATACTTGGCTTGCTTAGACACCTTGACACACAAGTGGCAAGCACAGAGAAAAATCCAGATCTGGAACCACTATATCCACTTGCCTACTATAAAACAGCTGATATCAGATCCAGAAAAATAACAGCACAGAACAGCAACCACCTTGCCAGAGAAATGGGGCTGTTAGATGACAATCAGCCCAGGACTAGCATCAACACATTTGTGAGTAAAGTATTAAAATACTTTAGACCTGAAAGATGTAAATTCATTTGAGAACACCAAGATTAGCCTCTGGATTTCACCTCACCATCACCAGAGAAAAGTATCATGTTGCCTAACCTTCAAATAGATATTAAAATTATAAAATCAGGGTCAATATTAACATGATGCTACATACCTGAAAATTATAATACATAATCAGCATAACCAGAAACAAATAAACTCTCATAATTTTAAAAAGACAACTTTTTTATCAGTTTTCCTTCAGAGTGAAGAATCAACTAAAATTAACTTACTGTAATTTAAATATCTAAATATACATTTAGTTACTGGCCTACAGTTGGAGGGAAATGATCCTTGCCCTCAACTACTCCTCATATTTGAAATAATTATTCGGTATGTAAATGTTGGAAGTAGAGAGAATTCCTCTCTTCCACCTTTAGTTAATCTATTGTTGCAAAGTGGATTAGGTAATTTTTTTAAAAAGTATATAAAACATGCCCTAGCAGGTATGGCTGAGTAGATAAGCATCGGCCTGCAAACTGAAGGGTCCTGGGTCTGGTCAAGGGCACATGCTCAGGTTGTGGGCTTGATCCCCAGTAGGGGGCGTGCAAGATGCAGCCAATCAATGAATGTCTCTCATCATTGATGTTTCTCTCTCTATCTCTCTTTCTTCTCCCTCCCTCCCTCTCTCCCTCTTTTCTGCTCTAAAATTAATAAAAATATATATTTTTAAAACTCTCTAAAATATATATAATATAAAAAACAGGAAGAAGTTGATGTTTTACGGATAAGTAAAATTTATTTCAAAGTGACTAATAAGTTCATAGTAAATAAAGTATTCTTGTTAAAGATCAACAAACCTATTTCTTTATTGGCTCCAGTCAAATACTTAATTATAAACATACTAGAGGCCCAGTGCATGAAATTCGTGCACAGGGGTGGGAAGGTATCCCTCAGCCCAGCTGGCACCCCTCTCCAATCTGGGGCCCCTCAAGGGATGTCCGACTGCCTGTTTAGGCCAGATACCAATGGGATCCAATGGGATCAGGCCTAAAGGGGCAATTGGATGTCCCTCTAACAATTCAGGACTGCTGGCTCCCAACTGCTAGCCTGCTCGCCTTCCTGATTGCAAATAACCGCCTCTGCCTGCCAGCCTGATCACCCCCTAAGCACTCTCCTGCCAGCTTAATGCCCAACTGCTCCCCTGCCAGCCTGATTTCCCCTAATTGCCCTTCCCTGCAGGTGTGGTCACCCCCAACTGCCCTCCCCTGCTGGCCATCTTATGGCAGCCATCATATGTCCACATGGGGGCAGCCATCTTGTGTGTTGGAGTGATGGTCAATTTGCATATTACTCTTTTATTAGGACAGAGGCTTGGTGCACACGTGGGGGCTGGCTGGTTTGCCCTTAAGGGTGTCCCGGATCAGGGTGGGGGTTCCCTTGGGTGTGGGGCAGCCTGGGCGAGGGGCTTGTGGTGGTTTGCAGGCCAGCCACGCCCCATAGCAACACAAGTGGAAGACATGGTATTTGGGATTTATATATCTTCTATAATTGAAACTTTGTAGACTTGAGCAGAGGCCAGGGCTGGCCAGGGCCAGTGGAAAGCTTGATTTCTTCCATCGTTGAGGGCAACCCAAGCCACTCGCTTGCTCCAGCTCCATGGCGCTGCCATATTTGTTAATTTGCATACTCGCTCCTGATTGGCTTTTGGGCACAGCAGAGGTAAGGTCAATTTGCATGTTTCTCTTTTATTAGATAGGAGGATTAATGAAGTTATCATATTTATCTTCCAGAATTTCATGTTATTTGAAAAAGCATATCACCTTAAACTTATTCTTTCTCAGAAAATCATATCTCATTTGATTAGGATATTTTTTCCTAACTTACAGTTTATATAATATTTTTTATACTCTGACTTTTAAAAAATATCTAAAAATCAAAATCAGAATAGGGAAGTACAAACTTTAATAACCAGAGTATATGATAAATGTTCCTAAATTATCTATTATAAAAGACATCCATATCTTTTGTCTTTGTCAACATTTTGCTTTTAAGAAAAATACAGTAGAGGAAAGTGCTTAAGTCATTTTATAAATGTAGAAATATTAGTACAAATAGCTGGGAATGTGCCTGTTAAAGTCAAAATTTTAAAGCAAAATGTATATTCAATGTTAATTATTAATCAAATATACATTTAAAAACACAAACAGTATCATTTTACATATATAATTCCACTTTTTTTAAGTGCAAAACTACAGTAAAATGTGGCATTTAATACTTATATATTCAGTTTGGCAATTTGCATATGAATAAGACAAAACTTTATAAAATATACCTACATTATACAAAATTAAGAGTATATAAAAATTCATCCCATGTTCTCTATTTCTAATTCCACAAATTTTAAGAGGGCAGAAGTTATTGCTAAAGATTATAGCTCAAAAGATATCTGCTATATACTTGAATCAATTAAGACTGCAGACTTTAGGAAACAAAAACTGCTTCATTTGACATGATGATGAAAGTAATTATCTTTAAAGCTTCCAGTTTTAGAAATGGTAATAAACTATAAAGGAAACTATTTCAAATTTCCACTATTCTACAAGGCTGTTTTTAAAAAATAGGAAATATAATCTACAGATGATCAAGTCTTGTTTAACAGCCTCAAAATTTTCCAAGTTTTTAATCTAGGGGTACATCAGAATCATCTAGGGAATATAATGATTAAACAAAAAGATCCAATGCAGGTTATACCAAAATTTCTCAGGATGGGATATTCCCAAGGTGATCCTAAATATTCAATTAGGGTGGAGATCCACTAACTTTTTTCATTATGGCCTCTTTAGTAACAAGTAAAACATGAATAAAGGACCAAGTATACAAACTTGGTGTTGTTGGGGAGTGGAGGGGAAAGGAAGAGATTCATAATGGAAAGAATGACAATACCATTCCCACAAATCTCTCTGCCTTTAATAAACAGTTTAAAGCTATTTTATAACAGCCACTGAAAATAACTAGTACTCATAATCCATGGGATCTAATAAATAAAAGTATTTCAAGTGTATTAACACTGTTCTTAATTACTTTCAAGACTTAACATTTCACAAAAGGAAGCAATCCAAAACTTTTGTATTCTTTTCCTAAATCAACATTTAGATAGATAGTAAACTTGCACTTCTAGTCAGTGAGTCGCCAAGGTGAAGCTGCAAAAGACTATCCAAAAAAGTAGATGCACTTTACCTACTTTTCTAGTGTGTTAAGGTAGCACACAACACACACCAAAAAAATCACAATTATTTGACCAGGCTATTTCAATTCACACTGCACAGTCCTTTTCAATACAATTATAAACTCACCTGTGCAGCAAGGTCAGGATTCTGGCTTAGTGACTGCATCATGCTTCTCATGTAAGGGGCAGACAACATGTTTTGCATAAGCTGTGGGTTTTCAGTTATTTGCTGCAACAAGCTCTGCATTCCTGGTGTGTTGAACATACTAGCTGAAAGTTTAATAAAACAAATCACATTGTATCAAGGAAAAGATATGTAGACAAAAATAAAATTTTAAAACAATATCATATACACTGTGCATTTTAGCAATTACTGTTGAGAAGACATATTACTTAACAATTGAACTAATAAAGAATTTTAAAACTAAGATCTTCAATACTACATGCTAAATATATACCAATAAAGGATGAGTTATGGATTTTAAACATTTTGGTTGCATTCACTGTAGAATCACATCTAATGGAAAGGTTAAGTTCCATAGTTCATTTAAGTAAAAGTTAGTAATGGTCAAAATTACTATTGAAAAATCCCATAAAGTGAAGAAGTCTGAGCCAATTGTTCGGTTCCACCAGGATCACTTAACTAGAATCATATTGAGCACTCAATTAGTAAGAAGGAAGTTTTCCCACCAACAAAATGATAGATGGGACTCCATTCCATTTTCACTGAGTACTGGCACTCACTGATCAAAATGAGTCTAAGCTAATTATGTAGTCCTGGCCAAATTATTTGGCTTCTTCATATTTTAGTTTCCCCATCTGTAAAAATGAGGTAAATATTATCTACTTCATAGGGTGGCAATGACAATTAAATTTGTTAAAGTGCTCCAGAAGCATTTTTTGGGGACCTCAGAATAAGTGCAAAGAATACTTCCACCTTTTCAAAATTCATTTACCTGTAATTGCGGACTACCACACCTAACCTTTGATTAGAAGTGAGTAATCTTCATGACATGCTAAAAGCAAAGAAAAATCCTATAAATGACTTCTAACTGATGAATATGCTATTCAAATAATATGCTTCTGGAATGTAGTTAGGCTTCTGTATTTGAATGTAGTTAGGCTTCTGTATTTGTGGTTGGTTGAATCTGCAGATTCAACCAACTACAAATCGAAAATATTCGGGGGGGTGGGGGGATCCCAAAAATTTCCTCAAAGCAAAACTTAAATTTGTCATGCACCAAGAACTATGATCAATTAATGTGAATGAGGTGATGTTCAGGCATACCCTATATGTAAATATAGGTTATTTGCAAATAGTATGCCACATTATATAAGTGACTTGAGCATCTATGAATTTTGGTAACCACAGAGGGTCCTAAAACCAATCCTCTGTGATGCCAAAGGACTATATTTGAGTGAAATAAGTAAAGCCTCATTATATATCACTATTAACAGATGAACATTTGTAGTTGATTCTGCCAAAAGGAAATTGTGTGAATGCCAAAGAAGTAAATGTCATTCCTAAAAAGGAATTCTATTCCTATCACTTGTAAATATATATGAAAAAATAGTATACCCAATTATTGTATTTTTAACTCCATCATTTAAAAAATATTCCAAAAATTTGTTTTCTCTCATACTGTAGTATTCTCCATTTTGCCTCTTGACCTGGAAAAAGATCCTTTACAAAAAAAATTTGTACCTCTGCTTTTAAATAGACTATCAAGCCATTACATTAAAAAAAAAAAAAAAAAAAAAAAATCTGAGTTAAAAAGTTGCTAAACTGATTTTTTTGTTAGACAAAAGCTATTTCTGTATAAAACCATGCTATAGTATAATAGAAATCTGATTAAATTGTTGTTGTCGGCTCTAAAACCATTAAAATGTGAATAAAGTGCGGCCAGGCCCAGAGCAGCGGCTGCCAGGCTGGGAGCGGCCAGGCCCGGAGCAGCTGGGTCTGGCGCGGCCAGGCCCGGAGCAGCAGCTGCCAGGCTGGGAGCGGCCAGGCCCAGAGCAGCGGCTGCCAGGCTGGGAGCGGCCAGGCCCGGAGCAGCGGCTGCCAGGCTGGGAGCAGCAGCTGCCAGGCTGGGAACGGCCAGGCCTGGAGCAGCGGCTGCCAGGCTGGGAGCGGCCAGGCCCGGAGCAGACGGGTCGGGTGCGGCCAGGCCCGGAGCAGCAGCAGCCAAGTCCAGAGCAACTAGGTCGGGAGCGGCAGTGAACAGACCTGGAGCAGCTGGTTGTGGAACGAACCAGAGCAACAGAGGCCAGGCCCGGAGCAGCCAGGCCCGAAACAGCTCGCTCCTCGCCTGCCCCTGCCCCACGGCTGCCTCTCAGAGATTGCTGGAAACTTTTGTGGGAACTTGAGGGTCTGCTGAATCAAGTGATGAAGGCTTAGATCTGGATGTGTTGAGTTAATATAGGGCTGGGGTGTTGATCTGTGAGTGCCTTGGGTGGGGCCTGGATGAGGCTAGTTGACCTATTTGGAAATGTCTTTTGTGTGAAGTGTATCATCGGGCATGTGGAGGTATTATTAATATGAGAAAATGCTAAGTAACTGATTTACTATCTGAAAAGGGATTTACTATCGGGGAAAGGGAGGGAGGAAGAGACTGAACATAAACTGTGCACCTATGGATGAGAACAATGGGGGATGGGGAGGGGGAGGAGGGGGGAAGAAATGAGGAACCTTTGTAATAATATGAATAAAGATTGATTTAAAAAAAAATGTGAATAAAGTAACCCTCTCAAAACACTGTTAATAAAAATCAAATAGGCAGTAAGTAAAATACAGAACAGATGACTTTTTAAAAAAAATGTAAAATGGTTATTACTTCAGCTATTAACTAGATTTATTCAACAATCATTTTGTAATATACAGATATTGAGTCATTACATTGTAAATCAGAAATTTGTTATGTCAATTACACCTCAATTTTTAAAAATGGTTATTACTTCAATTTTTATAAAACCCGTATTAGATCCAGAAATGTTAGCCACTGTATTTTACCACTGTGACCACCAATTACTTTCCCTATTCTGACTTCTTCCCTCATTAATGAATTTTTAAAATTCTTCATCCAGCATCTCACCTGTGCATTTCCTCTGCTAAGACACAGGGATCTTTTAAATAAGGGGTCGCCAACCTTTTGGACCTCATGGATCACCAGTGTCTGGGACCACAGGTTGCCGACCGCTGTTTTAAATTATATCCAGTCCCTCTCATCTTAGGGACGTGGCCCCGTGCTTTCATTTCTTCTCATTTATATGCCAAGTATTAGGACTAAAAACATCATTCTGGCTACTGATGTTAGTAGACCTAATCTTACCATGTAAATATCTGAATAGTTGAGAAAAGGACATCCATTTATTTAGTCTACAGAAAAAATAATCAAAAGTAAATGCCTAACCTTTTCACACACTAGATTCTCCAACAGCTTTATATTATACATTAATCTTAGCCCCACTGTGGAAGTTCTGAGATTAAGATCTGGGAAATTCGCCGAAACCGGTTTGGCTCAGTGGATAGAGCATCGGCCTGCGGACTGAGAGGTCCCAGGTTCGATTCTGGTCAAGGGCATATACCTTGGTTGCGGGCACATCTCCAGTAGGGGGTGTGCAAGAGGCAGCTGATCGATGATTCTCTCTCATCAATGTTTCTAACTCTCTATCCCTTTCTCTTCCTCTCTGTAAAAAATCAATAAAATATATTTAAAAAAAAAAAAAAAAAAAAAAAAAGATCTGGGAAACTCATTTTTACAAACTTGGCAGGGTGCTCTAGTCTCGGGATTAGATTTTGACAATCTACTGATCTAGAATGTAAAATCAGACTAAAGCCAGGAAACATGTGCTCTAGTAATGAATACATAAGTAACTATCACCTAGGCACTTCAGTTTTCGTACTAGTGAAATGAGACAACTGACCATCTACTTCTCCAAACCACCTTATGAGAATGCTAATAGAAAACTGCCTTTGGAAATCCTCAATAATTCTCACTACTATACTGCACACAACTAATCATTATATATTTAAAACTTTCTTAAACTGCCCCCCCAAAAAACCTTACAACATGAAAAGCTACTTGTCATACACACACAAAAGCACAAAGAATAACAGCAATAAGAAAAGTTTTTTTTATTCAAATAAGTAAGGACAAAAAAAAGAGTCAACATACCTCCTACTCCAGGCCCCAAACTTGGTGCAGAAGTCTGCCCAGCAGTGCTGCTTGCAGTACTACCACCAGTGCCCCCCACAGCGTTGGTGGTGCCACTGGTAGCTGTTGAACTCTGAGAAGCCTGTGGAGCCCATGGATTGGGTAATGGATCTCTATTTTCTGTACGGGAAGGTTGACTACCTTCACCTGAGGATGGATTGCTCACTAAGGAAGCAAATGGATTCCCACCAAACTGTAATAAAAAAAAATAAAAAAACAAAAAAAACAAAAACAAAAACACAAAACGGGTTTTAAAAGAGCTTTTGTTTTAAATAATAGACATTTTTTAACTTCAAGAGACAGAAGAGAAAGAAATACCAATATGTTTCACTTATTTGTGTATTCATTGGTTGATTCTTACATGTGCCCTAATCAGGGATTAAATCCACAACCTTGGCATATTAGGAAAATGTTCTAATCAAATGTTTTAACCAGGGCCAGATACAAAGCTTTTTAATGAAAATCACATTCCCCATGTAAAGGTAGCTCTCAATCACAAACATATTTGTGTAAAAACAGGAGCTATCACTTAGCCTGAGCCGTAGAGCCAGCGTTATCACCTGTTCTTGTGCAGCACTCAGCATTGGTTCCTGAATATCTGTGTACATGCGCCGTAAAGCATTGTATCCCCCTGGAATGCTTTCCAGATTACTCAAGGCTCGGTCCTGGTTTCTCATCATTTCCTGCATCATTGCTGGATTCCTGGCAAGTTCCAATGTCTACAGAGAAGATTTCCATTAAACAAAAAAAGGCACTAAAACATACATGAATTACTTTAACTGTTAAATGCCACAGCTAATTTTTTCAAGTTTTCTAATCCTATGAATTATCATTCAATATATAAATCGGAAACTTATTTTAAATAATTCCTATTGGATTTCACCTCAAAAAGCAAGCTAATATTCAAATAATTAAAGAAGCACTTTGTTATAAGTAAATGCCCATCTCCTGAACTGAATTCTTGTTTCTTAAATTTGCAGGGTAATTATTTATAAAGACCTTTAAAATATAGCAAAAAATTCAAAGTTCAAATAGTCCAAATTAGTGCTTTGTTGAATTTTACTGAAGATTAGGATTTCCTTTTTTAGCTTAACCATAAATATAGGATAAGCTCTTTTAGGCATAATCATATGCAATAGAGGTGATATGCAAATTGACCATTACACCCTCATAATATGGCTGCCTGCAACCAGGCTGGCAGGGAGGTTAGTGAGGGGCAACCAGGCCGGAGGGGAAGGGGCAGTTGGGGGCGACCAGGCAGATGAGCTATTAGGAGCCAGCAGTCCAGGACAGTGAGGGATGTCCGACTGCCAGTTTAGGCCCAATCCCTCAAGGGGTCCAGGATTGGAGAGGCACAGGCTGGGCTGAGGGGACCTCCTCTCACCCCCCAGGTGCATAATTTTCATGCACCTGGCCTCTAGTTGAATAATAAATAGACCCTAGCTAAATGGACTGACTGAAAGAGCATTCCACATACTTGTCTCATAATATCTGGGTTATTCAGCATATGACTAATTTCTGGATTTCTCTGTATCAACTGCTGCATTTGTGGATTGGCCATAATTAACTGCCTCATCAGGTCAGGATTTGAAAGCATGCTCTGGACAAAGGGATTCTCCATGATCTGGACCATCATTTCAGGATTGGACATTAGTTGCCGCTGCATCTGGTTTTGTAGTTCAGAGAAGTTGGTAGAATTCAAACCCAAACTACTTAGACCAGCAAGTCCTCCAAGGGTACCTAAGTGGATAAAGGGGGAAAAACAGATAAATGAAAGTCAGAAATTTTACCATTAACAAGACTGTGTTACATTAACAAGATGAGGATGCAAAAATATTAACTGAATCAATAGTCCAATCCAGAAAACCATTTAAAAGCAAAAATATAATTCCTATTAATTTCATATATACAAGTTTAATTTCTATAACTGAAATTAGCCAAAAATGTATTCACTCTCATATTTAGGTTTAAGTAATAAAGCTATCAAATATATGTTCCAAATATAAAACTATACAGTCACATGTCACAGAACTGCCATTTTGGTCAACAACAGACCATATATATATTATACACACACACACACACACACACACACACACACACACACACACACACAACACTGGTTCCTTAAGATTATAATAAGGTGAAAAATTCCTATTGCCACCAATCTCCAGGGAAGAAGTTGCTAGAGTTTAAGCTCTATAAAAACACTTGAGCAATGAGGTTTAGAGAGGCTCCAAGTGGGTGAAGACATCTACATGCTATTAGGGTGACATGGAAGCTCAGCATTGTCCCCGAATCCCCATATCTTGCCCAATGCTTCTTTTCCATTTGTCTAATTCTCAGTTGTGCCCTTTATAATAAACTGGTAAATATAAGTAAAGTGTCTTCCAGAGTTCTGTGAGCTGTTATAGCAAATTATCAAACCTGAGGATGGGTTGTGGGAATCTTCAATATAGCTTGTGGTCAGAAGGAGATGTGGTCTGGAACTTGGACTATTATCTGAAGTAGGAGCAATCTGAGCCCTTTAACTTGCAGGATTTGACATTAACTCCAGGTAGGTAGTATCAGAATTGAACTATTGGACACCCATGTGGTGCTGGAAAATTAGTTGGTGTTAAAAAAAAAAAAAAAACACCCCAGAATATGCCAGCTAATGGAAGAAAGAAGTGAAAAATATGCACTAGATTATACTCCTAACAATGTCTTTGCAGAAACCTAATTTAAGTTTTGCAATTTAAGTTAAACTCTGATATTGCAGAGCTGCTGCCAATCAATGAGAGAAAAAGTCAGGACATACAATAGAATGAAATCATGGGGAAACAATAAATCCAAGAGGATGATAACTGCTTATCATAACACATGAACTTTGTAAATTTACACAACCCACCAAATGCATTCATTCCTCACTTACTCAGCATTGCCTATATATGGCTGGTAATGAGATCGGGCCTTAACGGGCAGTTGGACAACCCTCAAAGGGTTCCATATTGTAGAAGGTGCATGCTGCACTGAGGGACACCGCCCGTGCACGAATTTGTGCATTGGACCTCTAGTTTAAAAATAAATGGCAGCACAGGCCTGGCACAAACAAACCAACACTCGGCTTCTCCATAGTGGGACACAGGCCCCATCACCACTCAGGAGCGACACCCCACCAAATCGCAGACAACATTGCCAAGATCCCATGGCACAAAATGCAGCCCACAGCCAGGCCAGCCTGAAACGATAGCTGTGGGCGCCGTGTAATGACATCACATAGCAACACCCAGCTTCCTCTCTCTAGCAACTAGCCTCCTTGGAGTTTCTTCAGCCCAGGATCCCAACTTGCTTTATAGTCAGGTGCAAACATTTCACAGTTCAACCAAATATTTGTGAAGCATTTTCCCATGCCCCATCCCATTTGATCCTCACAGAAGTTCTGGGATAGGTAGATAGGAGACTCAATAAAATCCTATTTTCTTTTCATTAGCAAGACAATGGAGATTTGGAAAGTTTAGAAACTTAACCCAACTGAAAAAAAGAAATGGTGGAATTTGAAAATGACTTCAGGTTTTTCTCACTGTGCAATATATAATCAAACACTACTATATAGGTAAAGATTTTATCCTTTGTTCTCCCTGCGTGATCTAAAATAGTAATCTATTTTGTGTTGCTATGTATTGCTGTGTTGCTAACAATTACTTAATAGAGAAGTTTGGGTACTTCACTGGATTGGAAAAAGTTTAGCTAAATCAGAAAGCAGGTCTAATTAAGTAAGTTTAACTATATACTAGAGGCCCAGTGTATGGATTTGTGCCCCAGTGATATCCCTCAGCGTGGCCTGCCTGCCACTCCTGTCTGCTCCTCCTGCTCATCCCAACCCCGTTGCGTCTGCTGCCACAATTACAGAAGCTATAGAAATTTATGTTGTTGTTAAAGTGACTTCATGTCTAATTCGGTCATTTTATAAAAACTACCCTGGGAAGAAAGAAGTTGGATTTCCCCCCCAGTTCCTATGAAAATGATTAAAGACACTTACCTAAACCAAAAGGGTTGCTAGGGGCAGAACCAGATGTAGAGTTACTATTAGGAGCTGAAGATGTGGTAACACTGCTTCCACTAGTATTTGTTTGCTGGGCTGAATGATCCTGAGGCCTAGGAAAGATAATTCATGCTGTGAACAGTGGAACTATTTTTAAAAGAATCTCTGAAATTCTGATACCAGTATAAAGAATAAGTTTTCAGACCAACTCAAATTTTCATAAAGTAAATAATACCCTGATATAACTATGTAAAAAGGAACATAGTAAAACCTGCCCTAACCAGTTTGGCTTAGTGAATAGATCATTGGCCTGTGGACTAAAAGGTCCCAGGCTCGATTCTGGTCAGGGGCATATACCTTGGTTACGGGCACATCCCCAGCAGGAGGTGTGCAGGAGGCAGCTGATCGATGTTTCTCTCTCATCGATGTTTCTAACTCTCTATCCCTCTCCCTTCCTCTCTGTAAAAAAAATCAATAAAATATATATTTTTTTAAAACACACACACACACACACAGTAAAACCTTATAAAAACCAAACTATACTTCAATTGCTCCTCCTTGAGTATAATATACATAAATATTTAATTACTTTCAGTCATATTATGTAAGAGTAGAAAATAGGTCACCTCACAGAAGAAAACCAACTACCCATCACAGCCATAAAGTTCAACTATATAAGCAACTTATCTATACCCTTCTATGTTCTTGAGGGTTGAGGAAGGGTTAGTTTTTCTCAGACTCTTGAAATTGTTAAAAGTAAAAAATAAGATTTCATCAAAAGAAGGTTAAAAAACCAATACAAGCAATAACTGATTACTACTTAATATTAATTAATAAAATATGTATTAGAAATATCTTCCTTCTGATACCAGTTAAGATTTCTGAATCTCACTCACTGCTTCCTTAATTGATTCTAAGATGCACATTTTAAAAAATATATATTTTATTGATTTCAGAGAGGAAGGGAGAGTGAGAGATAGAAACATCAATGATGAGGCAGAATCACTGACTGGCTGCCTCCTGCACGTACCTTACTGGGGATCAAGCCTGCAACTCAAGCCTGGCCAGAATCAAACCTGGGACCGTTCAGTCTGCAGGCCAACGCTCTATACACCGAGCTAAACTAGCCAGGGCAAGATGCGCATTTTTAAATTTTTACATCTTTGAAATCAGGATCTGTCTTACAATTGCTGACAATTATTATGCCTGGACACACATGTTCTATATAACTTCAACTGAGTGACTGAGTATAATATTGTACCACACAGACTGTATTTACCATATATAGTGTCTTCAGAAAGATTACACCATTACTTGGTACTAAAATGAAGTTTGTGCATACAGAAAAGCACAGAAACAGAAATAGAAGAAATGAATTTCTTATCAGTGAAACAAGTATCTGCTGTTAGGGAAAACCAGAATAAAAATTTACAGAATAGGTATCAATGGCCTGAAAGAAATTCCTGGAGAAAATACTGTAGCACTCTTTTAAGAACAATGCTGTACCAACTTAACTGAGAGTAGAGCTTCATCCCATATGGAAAAATATGGAAACGGATAACTGAGACCAAGGGTGACTCGACTCTGACTCAACATGAAGTAATAATAGGAAGGCTTTAATCAATTTATTCCATGTATATTTTCTTTGTGTGTATGCATGCATAAGAGTAATATGATAAATTCCATATCCAAGTAAGTCTAAAGGAGCTCTTTGACTAGTAGTTATAAAATAAAATTTTTAAGTGAAAAGAAATATTTAATGAGCAGTATTTTTTCTCAGTGATACATAAAATACAGGTATCTTAAAAATAAATGGTGCTACCCTAAATGGTTTGGCTCAGTGGACAGAGTATCGGCCTGTGGACTGAAGGGTCCTAGGTTCGATTCCGGTCAAGGGCACATGCCCAGGTTATAGGTTCAATCCCCAGTGAGGGATATGCAGGAGGCAGCCAATCAATGATTCTCTCTCATCACTGATGTTTCTATCTCTCTCTCACTTTCCCTTCCCCTCTGAAATCAATAAAAAAAAATATATGTTTTTAAAAAAAATTTGATGGTGCCTTAGACTTAATGAAATATGGTTATAGATTTGTGCCAAGGAAACTAATCATCCCTGATCTTTCTCCCAAATCTCTCTAAAACAAAAAGCATACCTAAAAGAGATAAATCTGTAATTAAAAAATAATGGCTCAATATGAATGAAACTTAAAACAGCAGTCGCCAACCGGTGGTCCTTGGACCACTGGTGGTCCGTGAGGTCTAAAAGGTTGGCAATGCTGTTCTAAAATATCAAATGTGTAAGCATTAGCATTACTGGATTACGGTGTTTCTTAAAATCATATGAATTGAAATCCACTCAATTAATGACAGAGAAAGCCCTTTAAAGCCAAGACTTTTATTTCTAAAGCATTTACTCATAGTTTAAAGCGTCTAAAAACATACCTGTTTTGCGTTTTGATGACAAGGTGAACAGTAAGTCCGTCATGAATTCCATGCTGACTCAGTGTATCTTGATCTTTTAAAATTTTTCCAGCAAATATCAACACAAGTTGGTCAGTATGCGATTTAAACCGTTTAGAGATTTCTTCCTTAAACTAATTAAGATAAAAATATGTATTTCAGGTATTTGCATAGCATCATTTCATCTAGTTTCTAGAAGAAAAACTTTTGAGTCCCTTTCTACAGATACTGCAATAACTCAAACAAGATAAAATTGCATCTTTTCTGTGTTAGTATCTTGCCCTTAGTGAGAAAATAAGTATTACCACTTCACTCATCTTAACATAAAGGTTTTATCTTAGATGTACATATTCAATATTCTGCTAAGGCATAACAATTCATTTCTTTACAATATCCTTATTCTTTTTATATCAATGGTGCCAATGGGGTTCAAAGCGCACATAGTTCTTACCAAGTTTACAGTAAGCTATTCCTCAGATTTCTAACTCCAGCCCTACTTTTTTTCTAGTTGTATACATACATATATATATGTGTGTGTATATATATATATATATATATATATATATATATATAAAATACACCCACACACAGTACTGAATACTGAAATTTACAAAATACTGAAATTTTATAAAATCTTGCAGAGATATAAACAAAACAACATAGGCCATGTGTCAATTACTGTTGAAAATGAGAAGTGGCCCGGCCAGCATGGCTGAATGATTGAGCATCAACTAATGCACCATGAGGTGATGGTTTGATTCCGGTCAGGGCACAAGCCTGGGTTGCAGCTCAATCCCTAGTGTGGGTTGTGCAGGTGGCAGCTGATCAATGATTCTCTCTCATCATTGATGTCTCTCTCCCTCTCCCTTCCTCTCTGAAATTAATAAAAATATATCTTAAAAAAATATAAGAAGTGCATGCAAGTTCATCACACTTTACTTTTGTGTATGAATAAAATTTTCCATAATCAAGTTACACACTCAATGTAAATGACTAGGGGTTGTTGTTGTTTTTTTAATCATAAAGATAATGTAAAATTATTCTGCAGCATATACTTTTCAAGAGATTTTTCTTCGTTTATCTGAAATTACAAAATAAAACTCTTTTATCTAAGATAAGCAATTTTCAAATAACTTAAAAAAAATCTCTGGATAGATTGTCGAACTGTGGACTCAAGGGTCCCAGGTTCAATTCCAGTCAAGAGCATGTACCTTGGTTGAGGGCACATCTCCAGTAGGGGTTGTGCATTAGACAGCTGATGGATGTTTCTCTCCCATCGATGTTTGTAACTATCTCTCTCTCCCTTCTTCTCTATAAAAAAAGATCAGTAAAATATATTTTTTTAAAAACGCTTTATAGAACACTATTTGCATAATATTCTATATAGAAAAACTGGTCAAACCATAATTTAACTATTCTCCTATTACTAGACATCTCCTTTCTCCCACTGGTAGCTTTTAGAAATAATGTAATGAGCAGCAGAACACATGGTTTTATAAAAACTGAATGAGAATGTGTATAAAATGCAAGCATCGGGTGCACAGGTGGTGGTCAGTAAATAGTAGTTACTATTATACCAGCTCTCTTAGTTCTCAATTACTGTGAGACAGATGGTTTTTAATCCCATTTCAGATACAGAAACAAAAAAAAAAGATCCCATATGTTCCTCTCCTCTCATAGTGACACAATTAATAACTAGGATTCAACCTAGTTAGATTTCAAGGACCAATTAACTATATCCTAATTCTTATGTAAAATGAGGGCAATCTAGATTTGTTTCTTAACATTAAACGAAGAAATCCTTTTCAGAATTCTTGCTATCACTTGTCATTCCGAAGTAAGTGACTCAATTGCCTAACTTACAATTACTAGTATTTTAGCATATTTTAGGATTTGAAGATAAGATGCTAGTTTGAAAACACCCATCTACTCATATCCTTTCGAATCCCCACTAAAACAAGATTTTTATAGCTTTATAGAAATATAACTTACATACAATTTTGACCACTTAGGGTGTACAATTCAATGATTTTTGGTATATACACAAATGTATATAACCATCAACAACCATAGTCAATTTTAGAACATTTTCATCCTATCTAATAAACAGGGGACATGCTAATTGACCACCACTCCTTCACAAAGATGGCTGCACCCACAGCTGAGGCCAAGTTCCTGTAAGAAGCCTTAACAAAGCAATCAGCAGGGACCTGAGGCTACACCCTCCCACCCCTGTAGAGCTTGACAGAGGACCTCAGGCCATGACTCCAGCCCTGGCATCAGGCAGGGGGACCTCAGGCTGCAAACCCCAACCCCAGTGCCAGGCCAAAGGATCTGAGGCCACGCCCCCCACCAGGTGGGGCTTGACAGGGAACTTCAGGCTGCACCTCCACCCTGGCACCAGGCCAGGGGACCTCAGACAGCACCTGGCAGGGTTTGACAGGGGACCTGAGGCTGTGCCCCTCCCCCTGCCTGGCTTGACAGGCTGTGTCCCCCACCTGGTGCCACCCTCCAGGGTTGGGGCTGGGGGACCTCAGGCCATGAGCCCCATCCTGGCACCAGGCCAGGGGACCTGAGACTACACCCTCTGCCTGGCAGGGCTTGACAAGGGTGGGACTTGCTGTGTCTGGATCTAGCCAATGGGGGTGGGCGGGCCAGGTCTGGGTCTCACGCAATTTTGAGGTATATGTGGGTAAGCGGGGACTTGACTTTGGGCCCTGTGGTAAGCACCAAACTCTGACAGGAGGAAGGTTTTCATATATATTTTACTAATTTTCTTTCATCTCTGACACTTCTATTATAAAGAAAGGGCAAATAGCAATATTAAATTATTTCATCTAATTAATCCCCTTTTAATTAGTCTTTTCAGAAAGAAACCAGTACATTTTGGCTGTCACCTCCTTTTACCCTATCACTCCAAGCTATAAGACACTACTAATCTACTTTGTCTCTAACAGACTTGCCTATTCTGGACATTTCACCTAATTGCAATTATATGCCTTATATAAGGTCTTTGTGACTGACTGGCTTCTTTCATTTAGCATATTTTAAAGGTTCATCCATACTGTGGTAGTATGTATCACTAAGCCAATCCTTTTATGGCCAAATATATTCTTTTGTATGGATATACATTTTGTTTATGTATTCATCAGTTGATGAACATTTGAGTTGTTTACACCTTTGGGCTATTATGAATAAAGCTGCTATAAACATTCAACAAGTTTTTGTATGGAAATTGTTTTAATTTCTTTTGTGTATATACATATAGATGGAATTAGTGGGTAATATGATAACTTTTCGTTTAACCATTTCAAGAACTACTTAAGTGGCTGTACCATTATACATTCCCACCAACAGTGTATAACAGTTCCAAACTCTCTACATTCTCACCATTACTTGTTATTATTATCTGCCTTTTAAAATATATATATATATATATATATATTATTATTATTATTGATTTTTTTAAAGAGAGGAGAGGGATAGAGAGTTAGGAAATTGATGAGAGAGAAACATTGATTCAGCTGCCTCTTGCACACTCCCTACTGGGGATGTGCCTGCAACCAAACCAAGGTACATGCCCTTGACCGGAATCGAACCTGAGACCCTTGAGTCAAATTGGTTGGGCTATTATCTGCCTTTTTTATTATAGCCATCCAAGTGGATGGGAAGTGGTTTGAATTTGCAGTCCCCTGATAATTAACGATGTAGAGTTCCTTTTTATGTGCTTATTTGTATATCATCTTTAGAGAACGGTTTAATCAGATATTTTGCCCATTTTTTATTGGGTTGTCTTTATTAAGTTGTAAAAATATATATTATAGATACAAGATTCTTACAGACATATGATTTGCAAAAAAAAACCAAAAAACTTTCAGACATAAACTCAGACTATAAATCAAATTAAGAAGTTTTGGTCTCAATTGGCAAAAAAAAAACTTTGAAGCTGGACATGAAATAGATACATGGTCAATGAATTTAGCAGACCCAATTGAAATGAATCTTAAATTGGCAATGAAGAAAACCAAAAGCTAATTCAATCCCCAGAATCTGTGTAATTCTCCTAAGACTCGGTATTAGTACCACCAGAGGCTGAACATAGGAGGTAAAGGGATGAGAAGTGCCTAAATACTAAATATAGGATTATTTTAGCATCTAAGAAGCAGACACATCTTCACTGCATACTAAGCAAACAACTACCCTTCCACAAACCCAATAAAAAGACTAGAAGAGCCAAAACCAGTTTGGCTCAGTAGTAGAGCGTTGGTCTGCAGACTGAAAGGTCCGAGGTTCAATTCCTGTCAGGGGCATGTACGTTGGTTGCGGGCACATCCCCAGTAGGGGGTGGCAAGAGGCAGCTGGTCGATGTTTCTCTCTCATCGACGTTTCTAGCTCTCTATCTCTCTCCCTTCCTCTCTGTAAAGAAATCAATAAAATTAAAAAAAAAAAAAGAGTAGAAGAATTTTTTCCCCTCTCTGGAAAAGGAACAGAGGGTTGCTGGCATAAGAACTTATCAAGCACAATGAATGCAAGAGAAAATACTAAAGTAAACATAGACATATTATATACTGAGTCTTTCTCCATTCACTCCATACCAAACAGAATTCTGACTTCAGGGCTTCAACAGCCAGACAGAAAAATTATAATGTACTAGAGGCCTGGTGCACAAAATTTGTGCACTTGGGGGGGGGGGTGTCCCTCAGCCCAGCCTGCACCCTCTCCAATCTGGGACCCCCCAGGGGAGGTCCGACTGCCTAAACTGGCAGTTGGACATCCCTCTCACAATCCAGAACTGCTGGCTCCCAACTGCTTGCCTGCCTGCCCTCCTGATTGCCCCTAACCTCTTCTGCCTGCCAGCCTGATCACCCCTAACCACTCACTTACCAGCCTGTTCAACATCTAACAGCTCTCCTGCCAACCTGATCGCCCCCAACTGCCCTCCCCTACAGGCCTGGTTGCCCCTAACTGCCCTCCCCTGCAGACCTGGTCACCCCTAACTGCCCTCCCTTGACAGCCTGGTCGCCCCTAACTGCCCTCTCCTGCAGGTCTGGTGCCAACTGTCCTCCCCTGCCAGCCTGGTTGCCCCCAACTGCCCTCCCCTGCAGGCCTAATTGCCCCCAAATATCTTCCCCTG